AAAGAACAGAGTACCATATGTTCTCACTCATAAGCGGACCTTGAACAATTATCATAATACTATAAGAAAGAGATTGGCAGTAGTGGGAAACTGCCTGAGAAACGGGGGTGGGATTGGCAATTGAGGGAAACTGCCAGGGGAGGGAGGGGAACACCTCATCAACAAGGGTACCTGCATAATGAACACTGTATACCTAACCCTGAATTGAACGTCACATCTTTAAAGTGAAAAAAAATGAAAAAAAAAAATGGAGGCAGTCTACCAGAAGCAAGTCTATTTTCCATAGTTGGAAGCAAAGAATTGCCACCTGCTGGGTAGTTCTCTGAGAAAACAAAGGCTTGCAGGCAGGACTTTGCAGTATCTATAGGAAGGAAGCCTATCATCTGTATGAAGCAGGACACGTTTCAAAAGACAACCGTACAGGGAAGACAGGAAGCATGTAAGCTATTGGATGGCAAGTGGTTACTGTTCAGATTTTGTGGGGAGGGGGTTCCATAAGGTTTCAGTCCTCACCTGAGAACACCGGTCCCAGAGCCACAGTCAAAGCGGAACTCCACGTGGCCCTCTGCCATGTTGATGGACAGGAAGTCCTTGCTGCCTGTGTCATAGCTATACAGGAGGACGCCATCTCCTGAGTCCGGACGAAAGGTGATCTCAAACTCCATAAAGGAGAGGTAATGCTGGGGCTCCAGGGGCCAGGGCGTTGCTGCATAGGATCTCAGAGACTCTCTGAACTGAGGGATGGTCAAGGTGAAAGCTGAAGAAACAAGAGTGGTGTTAATAATCCCTTTGTGGCAGAAACCTGCTAGATGTGCACCCATAGCTGTGTCCTTTCCCTCCAGAGCACAGAACTAAACTACATTTCCCAGCTGCCCTGCACTTAGGTTGGTGATGTGATTGAATTCTAGCTAGTAGAATGTGGGTGAAAGTATTATACAGAACCTTAGATCTAGTCCCTAAAACCTCCCTCCATGCTCCATGCTCTCTCTCTCTTTTCTAGCCTGCTAGTGGGATGCAGAAATCAGAGGAGGACTCTAAGATCCCGAGAAAGCCGCTAGACAATGGGAACCTAAGTCCCTGAGAGACTGCATGGAGCAGAATCTTGCTCTCACCATCACAGACCTGCAGTGATTTGTAACATGAGCAAGAACCAGCCTTTATTATTAAAGGCTACTGAAATATGAGACAGCATGTGACAGCGTTGGCTTACCCTGACTCATATGCCCTCTTATGAGTAACATGAGATTTGAGATCATAATGTTACAAACATTTTTTTCCCAGTTTGTTATCTTAGGTCCAAATCTGCATTCCTCAGGGAGGAATTTGAGTAGCTTTGTGATCTTAGCCCCAGTTTTGTTTTTAATTATAGAATTCTGGGGGAAAATGATTAACCCTGTATTATTTTTCTAAATCTTTTAAATTTTCAATTATTATTTGCTTGTGTATGGGCACTTAGGTGTATTTTTGAGTGCATATGTGTTGACATGTATATATACACACATGTATGCATACATATACATATTTGCATAATCAATATACATGCAGGATTGAAAGGTGGAATAATTCAGTAGAACAGTACAAAGAAGAAAAAACAAGGTCACTTTTGTCCCATCACATTGTTCATGTTTCTGTGTATACCTTCCCAGTGTTTTCTCTGAAACAGAGATATTCTAAAGAGCATGAGCATGAAGTTTTTTAACTGCTTTGAATTTAGTCTGATGCAAACCATACAAATATAGTTTTTACAAAGTTATCTAGGGGCTAAGAGGAGCCCACTCATGCTTAGCATCTTCAGATGAACATATCTTTGGTTGGTTCAAAATTTTGGAACTTGGAGATACCCCAGCCTGGGAAAAAAAGATTCCTCATCCCTCCCAATTAAGCAATGTTGATCCCATAAAAACGTATGGGGCTTTGTTAAAAGCACACTGATGAAAAATCACATCCACATGAATTAACATGCAGACAGAAACCACCATCAACTTGCTTCTTTCTCACCGTCTTCACAGTGTCGCCCTTTAAACCCCAGGGGGCAGAGACAAATGTAGGAGTCGGCTTTGATTGCTGTGCAGGTGCCACCATTGATGCACGAGGCCTCATCGCAGATTCCACTGCTGCACTCCCCTAAACACAGAATGGGGGTTACAAAGCCAATCCATGCGATGTGCCAGTCCGGGACCCTGGAGCCGCCCGCGCTGACAGCAGGGGGACTGGAATAAAGACAGTTCGGTTCTCTCTCCTGTTGATTTCCTCTTCTGTGCAATGCAAACCAGCTTTCAGGATAAGTGGGACCTGCTCTTCATTTTAATTTGATTTTGGCTTGTCCTGTATGAAGGGCCACAGAGATTTTAAAATATCTGATGGACACAGTAAATCAAAAAATAAATTGCTGGGCAATTTTATGACCATTGACAGGGATGATGGAGTTGTTTCTGCTTTAATTCATCTCTCTGTTGTTCCCACAAGAGTGTATTTCAATCCCTCCAATGTCAACAGGGTGTTTATGTTAAAAGTGTTCTAATTTGTATGACCCCAATTAGCTTAAGTGCTGCTACCTTGTTGGTTCAAAGTTGAGACAAACAAGATAAGCACTGAAGGAGTTAAGCAGCAATGTTTAAGCTTATTAACTCGCCTGCACTGTGGAGGACTCTGTCTGGGGAAAGCGGGGTGGGAGGGAGGGCTCCGTAATACTTTAGTATGTGGGTTCTAGAATCCCTATTTCTGCCTCCAGAGTTGCAATCTTATGAGGGACAGGAAGGTGCCTGGTAGTAAAAAGTGTTAAAAAGTTCAACACTAGGTGAATAAGTTATCTTTATCAAACATATCAGAGCACCAAAGAGAGTGTATGTTGTCATTTTCAAGTAATGAAATGAAAACAAATGGACTTTTCCAGGGCTCTTTTCTTCTGCTTATTTGGGTTTTTAGTTAGACAGATCTGATCCAAAACTACATAGGTGAATACAAAACATTTTTGTCGAGGGCCTAAAGTGAAGGGTCCAGTCAGTGCCATTCCCCCACCCCTCCACCCACCCCACCCCATCCACCTCTCCGGAGCTGGTGGCCCACCCTCTGTGGGAGGAAAAGCCCTTCTTGGCCTGAATGTGTCCCCTTAACTGTGAGTCTCTTCCCCTCCCCTCAGTCATCTGCATTCCTTGAATTGATCCAATTTTTTCTTTTCATAAAGACTCACTGGGAGGAAGGGGGAGGGCTGAGCACCCAATGTGGACCCAGGAGAGAAGACTGACTTCAGCACCTCTAACAAAATTTAATGAAAGCCATGGCAGACAGCTTGCAACTCCAGGTGGGGTGGGCCAGCCTCCGTGAATTCCAGCTGGCAGTGACTGCAAGTTCAAGCAGATATGACTGGTTCTCTCTCTTCAGCCTTTGTCCTGAGAATGTCATCCCAGCAGTCACAGTCTCCACAGAAACGCTGACTTTGATCTTAGAGAGCCAAACTCTCACAGGTCCCTGCACACCACCAATTTCTGTGGATTGTGATTCCTTCCCAGAACAGAGCTGGTTCCACACGAAGAAGTGAGGTCCTTGGGTTATTTTTAATGAACATGGAAGAAATTACTTTACAAATCTTCTGCCTTTAACTTTTTTTTTTTAAAGAGGTGGGAGTAGGGTGGGTGAGAGGTCATGAAAGCTAGCCAGATTTGTTGACTTGAAAGCAGTGTTTCGGCAAGATTACCCTGGCATGCCAGATAGACTGATGAGTGCTAGTGCTGGGAGAGAGGAAAGAAGTCCTACAGGAGGGTAGACAGGGACCGAACAGCAGAGGACACAGAGAGACTGTGAAAAATGGAAGAGTCCCGGAGAAGGAGGAAATGAGAGATTCATTCTAGAGGGTAAAGGTAGACTGAAAGAATGATGATCAGAGGGAAGAAAGGAGGGAGGCCGTGGACAGGAACTAGCTTCTGAGAAGCAGAGGAGTAGCTCGCTTTGACTAGACTTAAGTGTTTGATGACTGTGGAAATAGCCACTGCCAGCATCAGGCCTTAAAAGAAGAGGTTCCCAGAATCCTAAACCAGTGGGAAGCAGGGTTATGCAAAGCAAGACACTTGTCTGAGCTGGAGAGGACCTGAGCACGCGTGAATCACCTACAGCAGGGGGTCTGTGAACCTAATTGGAAAAAAATCTTCCATCTTTATTTTCCCTAACCTGTGACTGTAATTGAGTCTATATTTTCTCCAACTATCAATGTAGTACTTCCAGTAGTAGCAGTTAATGTAACTTGTGACCAATAGACCTTGCAGTTGTCATATTCTATCATTTGTTGCAAATATCTCAAAATATTACTTATACACATTGCTACTTTGAAATCACCCACCATTAAATAATCATTTTCCTTAATGCTTTATAAAGCAGCACAAGGCCGGGTGCAGTGGCTCATGCCTGTAATCCCAGCACTTTGGGAGGCCAAGGTGGGAAGACTGCTTGAGCCCAGGAGTTTGAGACCAGCCTAGGCATGTGGTGGCATGTGCCTATAGTCTCAGCTACCCAGGAGGTTTAGGCTGGAGGATTGCTTGAGCTCAGCAGGTCAAGGCTGCAGTAAGCCGTGATCATGCCACTGCAATACAGCCTGGGCAACAGAGTAAAACTCTGATTCAAGAAAAAAAAAAAGCAGCACATATCTTGTTGTAATGGCAAAACTTAAAAGATATTTGATAGCTGGATTTCAATATAATTGCTTCCCTTTATAATATTATGTCTCTTTTTTTTTTTGGCATTAAAAAAACATCATTCTGAGAAGAGGTCTACAGGCTTCATCAGACTGCCCAAGTGGGCCACAGCACAAATAAATATTAAGGACTCTTGGGCGACTGAGCAGAGAATCCTGGGTAAGGTGAGTGTAGACTGTAGCTGAATAAGTTCCTTTTAAAAAGGAAGAAAACTCTCAGCTCTGAGAGCCATGGGAAGGAGGAGTGGGTGTGACAAGGTCATGCATGTACAGGGTTGGAGGCACCTCATCAACATATGAAGTAACTTTCACTGATGCCTACTGTAGGCCAGCTGTTGTGTAGGCTTGTGCTAGATAATGAAGTGAGGGACAGAAGAGAATTAACGTTCCTAAAGAGGGAAAAGGAGGTAGAACATCATTAGGTCACGTTTCTTTTTTTTTTTTTTTTTAATAATTAATCAGTATTTTTTAGGTCAAGTTTCTTAAAGATACCATGAACAAGGAGCAACCTGACCCCAGGGCCCAATCCATAACCAAAGTCTTCCCAACAATCCCCCACAATGATCTGTCAAATTGGTCTCTGTCTCTCCCATCACTACCACCTGGATCAACCCACCCTCATTTGTCATCTGGACTATTCCAGTAGATCTCAGTTGGTTTACATGTACCCATGAATGCCCTTTCCAATTAGCTGTCTACAGAGAATCTTTTCAAAACACAAACTAGATCATGGCACACATCTCCCTCTCCTATTCCTATTGGAACAAGCCCTTTCCTCTGTCTGGAATGCTTGTCCCTCACTTTTCCATCTTTTAACTACTACTCTTGCTTCGTATTAAATTCCTCAGAGACACTTTCCCTGATCCCCAGGTCCTAGCATCTCCCTATTATATGCTATCATTGCACAATCACTTCTTCTTCATAACACTCATCCCTGCTTGTGACTTTACAACTATCTGTGCAATTATTTGATTAATTCGGTCTCTCCACATGGAAGCCACAGGAAGACGGGGCTGGATCCTGTCTGTCTTGTTCATTACTTTATCTCCAGCACCCAGCACAGTGACTAATACTAAGCAGGTGCTCAAACAAGTATTTATGGCATGGAGAATAAGTAAAAGAACTGGTAAGTCATAGAGAGACCCTGTCCATGATGACCTCTTGAATCTCATATGACTTAGGAAGTGGTTCTGTGACATTGCTCCAGTAGGGTGTGGCAATCCAAGATAGGGTTGGAATAAATGAATAGTGGTGGTTTAGTTTTGAGAATCTGAGCAGAAATCATAAAATAAAAAGACTGGATCAGACAATGCAAACTTTTGCTGAGACTGCTGATATCCTAGAGTGTGACTTGCAGAGAGAGTGCAGTAGCTCTCACAGTACTATGAAGGAGACAGGAGATGATGTGGGAGGAACCAAGTAACAAAAGCCCTCCCTGGAGTAGAAACAGGTTTGGTAGGGGAGGTAAGAGGTTGAGAAAAAGTCATGGTTGAAGATGCCAATGCCAAGTTAGAGATATCAAATGGAAGAACTATGACCTCCATGAGACACTGCATTTGACTTACAAAAACTCGATTTTCAGGAGGTCTAACTCAAATATGGAGGTTGAAAAAAGATAACCAGCCCGGCTCTTGTGCTGCTCTGTATTTTCCTGGGGAATATCAAATGGAAAGAAGTGAAAAAGACCAACATGACTGATACATGCCATTAAGGTTCAAAGAGAGACATCTAATAGCCCGGTAGCTGCTTCCAGGAAGCTGGAGCAGGCAAGGCAGGTCCTTTTGGTGCCATCTGCTCAGTGGAAAAGTTGGTATCACATTAGGCAAGAATTTTTAAAGTTGGCAGAAATCAGATCTTGCTCAACGTTGCAAATTCTGAACTACCTGTCAGAAGTTACCGTAAAGCCTTGAGATTGCCATGTCTGCTCAGGGCTATTTCCCTGAAGAAACAAATTATGGCTGGTTTGATGGACGAAGTTAGAACAGTAATAATTATATTAATAACATAACATAATAATGTCAATATTATTACATATTATATTAATTATATAATGCTATAAAAACAATCCTACCTCTGCCTGCTATTTTGGATAAGTGATTTAATTTCTACAGGTCCCAGTTTCTTCATCTATAAAATGGATATAATATAATTTCCACCTCTTAAATTATATATTATATTATATTGATATATAATATTCACATAAATATATTAATATAATTATTGTATATGGCATGTTAATAATGTAATAAAATATAATACTATATTGTACATATTATATTAACACTAAAAATAACAACATAAGAATATTAATAACACAACAATATTTACAATTATTATACAATATAGTGCAAGGCCCTATTCTAAGTACTTTAATGCACTGCAATTCATTTAAGCAAAATCTTATATACTATTATAAATAATACTATAATTACCATAATAATATTATATCATATTACATGAAGTAATATTATAATAATATATAATACTGTGGTATTACTATAATATCATTATACTAATAAAATAATCCTAGATACTATTTATAGATAGGGAGACTGAGTCATAAGTATTTGTCAAATCCAGGCAATTTGCCTTCAGAGTCCTGGCTCACAAATACTGCATGAGACTTCAGATGGAACTGCTGGTTCTTATGTTCTGAATTCTCACAGGTATCCAAGAAGAGGGATTTTGGAGACACTGTCCCACCACAGTGGGAGCTTTCATAACTGTTTCAGTCATTGCTTATTGCTTACCTTGACTAAGTGATCAACTGGGGGAAAAAATACACAGGGAATAGCCTGTGGATAACAAACTTTTCTTGTTAAGTAAACTTCATCTTTCATAGTTATAAAAATGGCATCACCTTTATGAGTGAGCGAGGTGGAGGGAAGCAATTTGTGGCCTCGGTGTAGTAGATTTGGTTAAGAGGATAGTCACTGACCCAGAATGGCTAGCGTCACATTTAGGCTCTACCACCTTGGGCTAAGTACTTAACTGTTTTGGGCCATTGGTTCTCATCTGTAGACCAAGGTAGTCATAGTGCCTACTTAATAGGAATCTTGGGACGATTATAGTAGTCTAGAGTGGTGCCTACATAAAGTAACATTGAACTAATATTAGCTATAAAGCAAGTAAGTAAAACAAAACATTTTATCTGGGGTCATGAGGATTGACTCCTAGCTCTGACTGAGGAATGGAGAGAGGGATGGAGTAATACATGGTAAAGCAAATGGAGCAAAATGTGAATGGCAGAATCTAGGTAGCAAGAAGACAGTGTTCACTGTGTATTATGTCAGAATAACATCTTAGAGATGGGAGGAAATGAAAGTCAAGAAAGAGACTGGCATTTCCTGCCAAGGACAATGTCATGGATGATGTGATACTTTGAGTTTTGAGTGAACAGTAAGAGAATCACAGAGACACCAACCCAGAGTTCTGCAGTAACGGAGTCCTTGTTATAGACTGAACTGTGTTCCCCTCAAATTCACAGGTTGAAGCCTAACCCCGATGTGACTGTATTTGGAGACAGAGTCTTGAAAGAGGTAATTAATGTTAAATGAGGTCATAAGAGTGGGATCTAGACCAGTCTGACTGGTGTCCTTATAAGAAAAAGTTTAGATACACAGAGAGACACAGTGGGTGTGCACACACAGAGGAAAGGCCATGTGAGGACACAGTGAGACAGGGGCCAAGTGAAGGAGAGAGGCCTCAGGAGAAACCGACCCTGCTGACACTTTGGTCTTGGATTTCCAGTCTCCAGAATGATGAGAAAATAAATTTCTGATGTGTAAGCCACCCAGTCTGTGGTATTTTGTTATGATAGCCCAAGTAAATTAGGACAGTCACTAAATTAACCAACCTTGGAATTACCTACCTGTTGCCTTTGGTGATACAATAAATGTCCTTATTGCTTTAAAAATAATACTGGCTCTGCCTGCTATTTTGGATAAGTGATTTTACTTCTACAAGCCCCAGTTTCTTCATTTACAAAATGGATATAATAGCAATTTTTACCTCGTAAAGTTAGTGTGAAGAATAAGCAAAAGGGCATACAGGATGATGTTTGATCAAAAATTTGGATTTGACCATTTCTCTGAGTCGCAGAGAATAACATGAAAACTCTTACAGTATTGTGTTAGTTTTCCCACTGGATTGGAGGAGGTAAGGTGAAAGGGCTGAAAGGACTTGTTGCTTTGTCCAAGAAAACCATGCCATTTTTCGTGATGAAGTTCAAGATGGCGGCAGAACACAACCAAGGGTTTGGTGCAACCATACTGGTACCATACCTTGGTGTTCACACTCAGAGTCAACATTTCTGCAGCACACCAACCTCACTCCTTGGGCCCACCTCCCTCCTGAAGTTCTGCATTAATCAGCTTCCCAGGACTGCAGCTGATGTTGCTGCTCCCCTCCATGGGCCAGGCCAAAAAGGCAATCCCATAAGAGCACCCTAACCCACCAGGCACTTACCCACATCAGCCCCGCTGAGTGCTTTTCCCAGCGGCCAGGGCCTCGTGTCAATTCTCCTCCCATTAACAGCAAGCGATTGCACACAGCCTTGAAAGCCTCGGTTTGTCCCTGTGGCTCTGACCAACCAGTAAGCACTGGGAGCACCACCAAGATAGAGAGGTGTCCGGAAGGTAATTTTACTATACTGGCCCTTTAAGAGAAATGAACACTCATGAACACTCTATCTCACTCAACAAAATCAAAAGCCAAGACACAATAGATTTTGATGAGGGGCACAGCTAAGATGTAGGTTACAGTCCCAGTGTTTTCTTCCATTAGTATTTATGGACACCTTAAGGCATCTATGGATAATTTAAGACATTACCCTGCAAGACAATTAAATTCATGGTTACCATTGGGAACTCAGGGAGCTTCTCAGAGTACTGTGCTTCTAGAAGGGATTATTTTGTAATGCCTAGAAAGGAAGGGAGATCAGAGCCAAGCCCAACCCAAGGGGCAGTGAGCATGCCAGGCATCCAAAGAAGACCTTTCTCTTTCCAGTCCTGATACCAAGTGACTGTGTACTGTGGAAGGGTCATAGGGCTATTCTGTGCCTCAAAAGGTGATAATAATAATTTTGTGTATATGTGGGTCAACAATTACCCTTTCACTATTCTAGTCACCTTTAGACTATATCCTGCAAGAAACACTATGTGTATGTTTGGGGGTGGGGTGGTAGAGGTGGCAGACTGCCAAACAGATTGTGTGGCAAAGTTTTTTGAAATTTGCTTGTGGATATGGATTTTTTCTTAAGTGTTATTGTAGTGAGGTAGGGAAATTTCCAATCTTAGACCAAACCACAATCTGGACTGCAGATTACAAAATATAGAGATGAACATTAATTAGTTGGGAGAAAACTAAGGCACCCTTGGTCATTTTTTTTTAGTAAAGAAATATCTTATTCATTTGGATTAAAGAGTACTGAAGAAAGGTACACTACCAGAACCTATAAAGTGTTCAGAGTGTAAGCCACTGAAATATACACTTTTGTTACCAGCAAGTGGAAAATCTGATCATTGTTTTTATCTTTTCTAATTAAGAGATAAAAATCATTTGTAAACAGTAGACTGAACAAGAGCTAGGCAGCTTGACAGGACTTGCAGCGGGGTTTAAAGGATCAGTTGTGCTATTTGCCAGCCACTAAGCAGACTGCTTTCATTAGATGACTGAAATGCCCTCTTGGCTTATTTCTTCAAGATCCTCAGAACTCACTTCTTCTGGATCCCGTCCTCACCTTTCCAGTCCTATTCCCTGACCCAGGACCACAGCATGGGTCCTCACAGTTCAGTTGTTTTCTAGGGCGTTATGTTTCTCACAGGGCGAGTGGTTCCTTTGAAGTACCCTTCACAACATCCCAGGCAATAGTCTTGGAACTTGCCTTTTACCTTCCTCTGATGAGGGTTGCTTTCTGGTCTCTGGAGCCTGTGTTTGCTGTCTACACAGAGAAATGGAGGTGCTCTGGAATTTGCATTCTCTCAGGACGGTCCTTAACAGTTTGGGGTAACTCTAACGCATAGTTCATACTCCAGATCTTCCCTGTAGGGTCAGGCAGAAGCCATACTCTGAAGAACTTTGCCTGCAGTCTCACTCTTGCTGACTTCTTCCTCTTCCCTGTCTATCTTCTCTGACTTAGCAGTTTTCCCTGGGATCACTTTCTTAACATATCACTTGCACAGCTCTCATCTCTGGTCTGTTTCTGGGGAATGCCACTTAAGGCAGAATCACTATCTCCCAAGATAATTTAATAAACATTCCACATCTGTGGTCCTGCTTATACAACTTGCTTAGCAAGTCATGTAGGATGGAGGTAAACTTCACCCTGAGTGTCCATAAAGTCACATGCTTCTTGCAATTGATTTATTTTTAAGATGGAGTCTAGTTATGTTTCCAAGACTTGATCATAGCACTGCGTAACCTTGAACGCCTGGACTCAAGCGATCCTCCTACCTCAGCCTCCTGAAGCATTTACCATGACACCTGGCTTGATTAACTATTCTATTGATTCTAATCAAAGAGCCTTGGGATTCGAAAAATATATAAGAACTCTTATAATCCAAGCTCCCATTGGTTGTTGGATTCTGTGTACATTTCTATCAAAAGGTTTAGATAAGTTACATTTTGAATACCCCCTCAAGGACAGGGGACCCTGAGATACTCTGGTGCACCGCTTTCCTTTGAATGATTAGGTGAAGCTAAAATTGGTCTCCCTGAAGCTCTCCCTATTCAACGTTAGCCTTAGGAGTCCGTAGAGTAATTCCTTGTTCCCCAAGACTCTCTCTTTGACTTTATGATGAAAAGCTACCATCAGCCGGGCTCGGTGGCTCAGCCTGTAATCCCGCGCCTTTGGGAGGCTGAGGTGAGTGGATTGCCTGAGCCTGCGGGTTTGAGACCCGCCTGGGCAGCGAGACCTCATCTCTACAATAAATCAACAAATTAGCCGGGCGTGGTAATGCACACCTGTAATTCCGGCTACTAGGAAGGCTGAGGTGGAAGGATTGCCGGAGCCCAGCAGGTCGAGGCTGCGGTGGCCGGAGCGGCCACTGCACTCCAGTCTAGGCGACAGAGTGAGACTCCAACTCAAAAAAAAAAAAAAGAAAAGAAAAGAAAAGCCACCATCCACGCCTTCATCTTCTCTTTTCTAAACTAAACATCACTCACTCCTTCAGTCATTGAATGGATTTCAAGTCATCTTCCTGTTTGGGTGACTGCCCCTTGAACATGCTCCAATTTGTCTATGGCCCTCTTAATCACAGATACAAATGTAATCCTCTTAAAGGATTAATGTCACCATTAGAGTCACTAGAAGATATCACATAGTCACCAGAATAGAATAAGATTGTCACTTCCTTCTTCTAGATGCCATGACTTTATTAACACAGTCTATAATGTCTTTAGCTTGTTGTTGTTGTTACCACGTGGCCCTGTTTGTTAACCTTTATTGAACTTCCTTGCTTTAAACTATTAGACATTTTCACAGGTGTAATTTCCAATTACACAAGTGTAATTTCTAATTGTAGCTTCTCCATCCTGTCCTCATGTTAGACCCAAGTTAGAAGTTTCTTTATTTCTATCAAACTTACTTTTATCATGTTAGGCCTATGTTCTGGCTTTTGTGTGGCCCTGAAGTTTATTTACTCTGTTTTTACCTTTCCTGACCATGTAGACATAAGTGATCTCCCCAGATTCACATTTACTAAATATGAATCTTATTTCCTTTAAAACCAGTGGGATTCAAATTGATGAGACTTTTTCTTTTGGTGGAGAGAAAGGGTTAGCAAGGGATGCACCTTTATATAACCTGTCTTGCTAGCAAAGAGTAGTGAGGAGCCCAGGCAGGAAGGAAGCTATAGATATACACACATAGGATTTCTTGCTACAGTTTTCCGCAGAGAATACAGACACTGCCCTGCTTATAATTACAGGCTCAGTTCCTTGGCAAGCTGCTGATCCCAACTGTTTATTTTAAACACAGTCCTAAAATTGCCCAGAGCATAACAAATATGTAAATACCTAGGTGATTTGCTGAGTAGCCCAACAGTCAAAATTTTTTTCACCACTCCCTACAATCATGCCCCCCCCCAAAATGTAGATGAACAAATTATTCCTGCATATTGAGCCAAGTGAACCTTTCAGGACTATTTTCTTTTTCTTTCTTTCTTTCTCTCTTTTTTTTTTTTTTTGAGAAAGCAGGATTCATTGAGAGAATAGAAAAGCTTCCACAGTGGGAGGGGACCTTAAGGGGTTGCTCCTGGACTATTTTCTAAAGTCACAGGATGGCAATACCTCTGCCTTAAAATCAAGCTTTGTGTTTGACACTCATAACGGGTTCTAGTCTTCCAACACAGGCCTTCCTCTATCCCTGGCTTTGATGTCCTTGCGGAAAGTGATCATGTTCCTGGCACAAGGCCTGCAGCATGTACCTGTGCACCCAACAGCAATGGTGCTTGCAAGTTCAATTCTCCTTGGTAGATGGGGGATGGATGTGTGCTCTGAATGCTTGCTGGGAGTGGCAAGACTGAGCAGGAGCACTTCAAAGCTTTCACCATGAAAAATGAGCCTCCCCAGGTCTGTCCAGAACTTGAATCCTGACAACTATGCCTCACCTCTTTGTAGTGGGCCCTTCTCAGTATGCTTATGGTAGGTGGTGGGAAGGAGGGCAAGGTGTGAGGCTCACGCTCACCTGGGATTGGCCTGTCACTGGGGTGCCGTTGTTCAGCTGCAGCAGCCCATTCTGCCCGTCTCTGTAGAGCATCACTGTGTGCCAGGCCCCCAGTTTGATTTTGGTCTCACTTATGATGATGGCAACCCCAGTTCCACAGTTAAACCTGTGGGGGAGGAAAAGGAAAGGAAGATTCTTTGATCAACCAGCTCATTATATTTTCAGATTCCATGGACATCACTTCGAGGGCAATGTCTCCTTTCAGAGTCAATCTATTCAGTTAGGTGTATGACTATCAAGAGCTGTTTCAATCTATACCTGCAAGAACTGGATGCCTCTTTCTTGGGACGATCTCAGGCTAGATATCTTTAATCTGCCCATGGGAACTTTCAGTGTAGAGCCTTGTTTAACCTGACTTTCTCTGCAGCCTAGAACATGATGGGCACCTAAGGCCCTCCTTCTCCTTTTCAGAGATTGCCAGGTGCTTAGAGTGGATTCAAGATGCAGTAAATTAGAATATGAGTCACTCTGCTCCCATGGATTTCTCTGGAGACTTTCCCCAACTCTCAAATGGCAGGCTCAGTGATACCAATAAAATGTTAAAATCCAAGTCTTCATACTCGTTTTGGCAAGCTGGCCAGCCCTATCATTTGTGTTCAGCTGTGCCCAAATACAAGTGAGATCTCCATAGGAGGCTAGGGCTCTGGGGTGAGGTATGGGAACAGAGGGGGAGCATCTTCAGATGGCTGCATTCATCCTGATTTTTTCCAAACCTGCTTATGGTCCAGGGTGCCCACCAATTACACAGAATTTTGGTATTTTCTGGTCAACTTCCAAATAGCCACCATGTCCCTTCCACATAGATCCTGAAATTGCCAGTGGGGAGTCACGGCCAGCATTTTCTTTTTATTTTCCTTCTTTTCCTTTCCCTCTTTCCTTCCTTCCTTCCTTCCTTCCTTCTTTCCTTCCTTCCAAGTTGGGGTCTTACTTGGTCACCTAGGCTGGAGGGCAGTGGCAAAATCACGGCTCACTGCAGCCTCGATTATCTCACCCGGGCTTCCCAAAGTACTAGGATTACTACAGGCATGAGTCAGCATGCCCAGTCCAGAATTTTCTTTATCAGGATTTGCCTTATGTGCAGCCATGCTAGGCCCTCCCTTTGTCTCAAGACCCTCAATGGAGTGAGATGGGGTCAAAGGCATGGCGGGACAGGTTTACCTAAGAGGAGGATATCAGATTCACTCTGCAGGAGCTGCAGAGGTAGAGCTCTGACCTTTTTGCTACCAGCCAAAAGGTCAGAGCTACTGAAAGTCTATCTGATCCTCTAAGTGCTAGAGCCCCACAAAATTAAAACCATTGCCCCAGATCCTGGTGGCTAACATCAAACTTCTGCAAAAACAATCATTTAGCAAAAGATAGGGGCCCATTTTCTAGCCTGAGTGGGATGCTCAAATGTCTTCTTAATTTTTAAAAGACAACCATGGTTGATGCTTATTAAGTGCTTGCTCTGAGTCAAGAATTGTACTAAGCATGTTATGGATTAACTCACTGAATCCTCTCAGTAGCCCTATAAGAAAACATGGGTTTGGAGAGGTTGTCATATGCTGAAGGTCAGGTAGCAGGGGATTGGTGCCACTAGGCTCTTAGCCAGTGCACTAAACAGAAGGACAAGGTTGTTATACACGGATCATTCACAAATAGGTACAGTGTATGCTTCCATCAGAGTGATTAAAATATTCACCTCCCCACAAAACTCTTGTCCACCAGGAGACCACACACAAGCTAAAGGTGGTTTCTAAAGTGTGTTGTGGGGACAAATGATCAGGGCAGAGGAGGCAAATCAAAGAGTATGCCCCAGCTCCCTGGAAAGACAAGGATGGGGTCTGGGCCTCTGTAAACCCTTAGGAACCCTTGGAGGCTCCTCTCTCCCCTCCATGGCCATCAGACACATTTGCCACAAGAAGACGAGGAGAAGATCCCAGTCTTCTTCCCATCACAACCACCAAAGTTCCAGGAGAGAAGGGATTTTATCTCTCAGGTTCAAAGCTGCATCCTTAGGATCTACAGCCATGCCAGGTACAATGTGGGAGCTCGAGAAACTGGCTGCTGAATGAATGAATGGTTACAAGGTGCCAGAACTCAAGTTTCAAGGGTTACTACAATCCTGATATCCCAGCATTTGGCAAATGGGTCCATGCTCATCTTATACACACCATTCCTTTATCTACTGGAATCCATCCTGTATGTATTTTAGTCATACTATAAAAAATGCAAATATAACATAAGATAATGTAAAACAAATAAATAAACCCACAGGGCCTTTGGCAGGAGTTACCTAAACTGGAGGGAGCGTCGGATGATGGCCAGGGACATGAAATCCCCTCTCCCATGTTCGTTCTCTCCACAGTAGAGCAGTAAGCCATCTTCTGCCTCTGCCTATGATAATACAAACAAAAGCCACAAGAACAGTGAGCACCTCCCCTTCCATAAAGTGCATCTTGACACACTGATGAATATGGAACTTAAGCATTCTCCTTAAGAATCCGATTGATTCGATTTACAAAGGGGCAGCTGTGGGCTTCAGTGAATTCCCAGATAGCCAGTCCCAATATATTTTTTGAGGGGGGAGTGGGAGTCTCACTCTGTCGCCTAGGCTAGAATGCAGTGGCATGCTCACAGTCAGCCCAGAGTTGACCCACTGGGCTCAGGTGATCCTTCTGCCTCAGCCTTCCAAGCAGCTGGAACTACAGGTGCATGCTACCACATCCAGTTAATTTTATTTATTTATTTATTGTAGAGACGAGGTCTCACCATGTTGTCCAAGCTGATCTCAAACCCACAGACTCAGGCAGTCCTTTTACCTTGGACCCCCCAAAGTGCTGGGATTACAAGCTTGAACCACCACACCTGGCCCAATGTATTTTCAATGAACAAATGGCAGCGATAAAAAGAGAGTGTGAGGGACAGCAGTGAAGTGAGGGGAAGGTGACCACATCTCTGGCCTGCTCTTTGGCTTTGTGGTTTCACTTAAAGAGCCTTGGGAAAACCAAATGTGCAAAGACCATGGTCGTAGAGAGGATGTTGCTCATGCCCACCAAATTCTATTCTCACCAAAGAGCATTCCATTGTTTTCCTCTCTTCTTTTCTTCTTTCTACTTCCCTCTTTCTGGGTAGGCATGCAATTTTGCCTCTTTCCTTCTATCAGGAGAACAGGACAGTAAAAACAGCCCAGGTGATAGCCGTGCTGGCTGTCTTAGACTAAGACAGGCCATCTCTTGGACACTTTACACTGTGGCCTTGACTTCAAGAGTAACTTGTTTCCAGACCTCCAAATATTTTTGTGTCTTTGGCGATAACCCCCCAAAATATCACTTTAAAAAGGCTGAGGTCACTGATTGAATTTGCATCTGCAGAGATCTTCCATTGGGCCCTCACAATAATTCAGGGCTGCATAGAGTTTCAGGGTTTTTAATTTGTCACAATACAGGTGTCACAATGAAGGCAGATGACTGGGCTCTCTTTTTAAAATCTTTCGGAATGGAGAATGCATTATTTTTTCTGAAATCCTGGTCCGAGAGGAATCACTGTCATGAACAGCATGGCTGAGACCCCAGCATTCTCACTGGGAGCCTCAGGCCAGTCACTTCCATAGTCCAGTGACACACAAAATCCACCCTTTCCCCACTGGTACACTTGAATGTTGCGAATGTGCCCATCCTTCCTGCTGTTCTGTAAGCTGGTTTAAAGACAAGCTCTGTGTCATATTAACCTTTGATCATTCTCCCTGCTTCCCCTCTTCCTCTCCCCTGCCTTTGAATGTAGTACATTGCTGTGTTAAGGTGTCCAACAAGCACTTATCAAACAACAAATCCCCCTTACCCTAAATTCAAGAGTAATTTGGAATGCCTGATAGGAATTCTTCAGAGGTTCAAAGGTTACATAGGAGTGGCCAAAGAACTGAGGATACTGTATAACAATATCTGAAAAGAAAAAAGACAACACAAAAGAATGCTACTTCAGTTCTTCAAAAGTAAAAATCAATATGCTCGGTTACCTGGGTATTATTAAATAAAATCCCCCACTAATATGTTCAATTTAGCTTACTATCATCTTTTCTCTACTTTTTACACCTACTATTCTTATTCTACAAGACTTTGAGCTTCTGAAATTCTTAGGAAGAAACTGCATTTTTTTTTTGGAGATTGGCACTTGCTTTCCTAAAAAGAAATCAGTGGCTTTAAGATCTCTGTCACCTGTGCTCAGCTATATATTTGCATAATGTAAGTTGGCCCAAGTATTATTCTCCCTAACCCTAATACACATGTACTGGCTGCATGTTTCAGCAGAGACGTTATAATACTAAAGCCCACCTCTCCAAGATGCTGATGGGATGATTTACTGATTGCTCCAAAGGGACTACACGTTTAACACAAAAAAATAGGGCTGCCTTCTACTTAGAAACAATGGAAGTTGCCTCACAATTTGCCTTGTATAACTACCTTAGTGACCGATACATGGAAGAAGGGACCTATCTCAGAAAAGGCACTAGAGGGAACCACGCTTGGACCACAAACTGCCCTCTGTCTCCCAGGGGTGCCCACCCGCCACTATGTTCTTCCCCTCCCCCGAAGGCCTACCTTCTAAGCAGCTCTCACCACCTTTGCCCAAGTTGCAATGGCATCGGGAGCCCCCCCAGGTGTAGTCATTGGCACAGAAGCTGTCCGCAGAGCAGAGGGTTTCATCACAAGACATATCAAAGAGCCTTGACAGTATGGCCACAGAATTCTGCCCCTTCCGCTCCATGTGAGTGGGATGGGGTGCCACGGTGGTTGTCGGGAGAGATGCTGAGGTCGGGGGGACCAGCCTGGAAATGGTCTTTGGGTTAGATATAGATGTCCTCTTGGTTTCTGCCACAAATTTCTTATTTCCTCCTTTGGCAGCAGGAAGTGGTTTAACCTAAAGTCAGAGAAGGGAAAGGGTTTAGGATGAACAGGGAATGGTAATTAAACTGCTTTACTTGCAGTCATTGCCATATATATATAAATTTTTTTTTTTGAGTCAGAGTCTTGTCACCCAGGCTGGAGTACTAGAGTGCTGTGGCACATTCATGGCTACCACAGCCTCAACTTTCTGGGCTCAGGCGATCCTACTGCCTCAGCCTTCCAAGTAGCTAGAACCACAGGTGTGTGCCACCACATCTGGCTAATTTTTTATTTATTGTAGAGATGAAAGCTTGCCAAGTTGTTTAGGCTAGTCTGGAACCCCTGGGCTCAAGCAATCCTCTCACCTCCGCTTCCCAAAGTTCTGGGATTATAGGAATGAGCCATCATGCCTGGCATGCCTTATATTTTAAAATATGGTTACTGTTGTTACTTCCAAGAACCCTAGAATGGAGATGGGGAAGACAGTACTGATCTCAATTTGTGAATAAAAGATTTGAGGCTCAGGGATTTTAAGTACCTTGTTATGTATTATTCAGAAAACTGATGGTCAACCTGATATTACATGATTTAGTCTTATTACAATATTATAAAAAAGCATTACTTTGTCAAGGAACTATTCATTTCCTTATAACAGTTGATTGTATAAAATTTCATTTGGTAGGAAACCTAAGTATGTTTTTGCCAGATTGTGAATCAGCAGGCAGGGGCTGACTATAGACATCAGCATGGTTGGTACTTCGCTACTACTCATTTAAAATCACCTGGAGTCAGTCAGAGGAAACAAATAAATGTTAAAAGAAAATGGACTAATTTAAGTTTTAAGTAAAATGGTCAGGGTTCATTGGCTAAATTCCCATTTGGCAAGAAAACAAAAACACTCTGGGTTTTTTTTTTCTTTTTTCGAGTTGGAGTCTCAGTCCATCACCCAGGCTGGAGTGCAGTGGCACTCTCATGGCCACCCCAGTGTCGACCTGCTGGGCTCAGGTGATCCTTCAGCTTTTCTAGTAGCTGGAACTACAGGTGCGAGCTACTACACCTGGGTAATTTGGTTTGATTTTTATTGTAGAGATGAGGTCTCATCAAGTTGCCCAGGCTGGTCTTAAACCCATGGTCTCAGGCAATCCTCTCACTTTGACCTCCCAAAATGCTGGGATTACAGGCTTGAGCCACCACGCCCAGCCCACTCTGGGTTTTAAGAGCCACTTTGGGTTTTAAGAGCAGAAATTACTGTTACCTCTTCAAAAGAAATATCCAAATCGAAGTCATCTTCATATCCATCATCATCCTCACTGGCTCCCATGTTGGTGTGATAACGGGGTCCGAAGTGGCCACTTCCTGCTTCCTCAGGGCCTTTGCAAAGAAAAGCAACATACCTTCTGTCAACATTCACCCTTGCTCCTTTATCTGTCCTTACTTGGTCACACATGATGCTGTGCTAAATGGATCAACACATATGAGGAACTCAACACAGAAAAGGAAGCATCAATGACCAAAAAATATAAAAGGTTTCCTCTCATAAGTAGTAAAAGAAATGCCCACTTAAACCAGAAAGAGTTACCATTTTATATTGATAAGACTGGCAAAAAGGTGAGTCGAGCAACAAAAATAAATAGGAAAAGATCGATGAAGACTCTTGCATATTCATGTTAAATGTGTAAACTAGTACAACTACTTTGCAAAAACACTTGGAAATATTTGATGAAGTAGAAAATATTCATGCCCAGCAATCCCATTCTAACTTACCAAGCCTAGAGAAACTCTTGTACATTTGTACCAAGAGGCTCATAGCATCAGAATTTTTAATAGTGAGAAATATCCCAAACTTATTATTTATAACAACAAACAACATCCCAAATGTTCATCAACAGAAAATGGATAAATGAATTGTCATATATATCTATGGAATGGAGGGTTAAATAGCAGGAGAAATGAATATATGGATATTTAATGCATCAATGTGGCTTAATTTCACATGATCTCATGCAAAAAAATGCAAGTTGCAAAAGAACACATCTAGTTTGATGCCATTCATATCAAGGTCAGCTGCAAGCAAAACTTAGTATATTATTTAGAAACACAAATAGATGTAATTTCAAATCTTGGGTGGCTGGGCTTGGTGGCTCAGCCTGTAATCCCAGCACTTTGGGAGGCCAAGGCAAGTGGACTGCCTGAGCCCGCAGGTTCAAGACCAGCCCGGACTACTTGATGAGACCTCATCTCTACAATAAATAAAAAATTAGCTGGATGTGATAGCATGCGCCTGTCGTTCCGGCTACTTGGAAGGTTGAGGTAGAAGGATCGCCAGAGCCCAGCAGGTTACGCTGGGGTGGCCGTGAGCGTGCCACTGCACTCTAGCCTGGGCAACAGAGTGAGACTCCAACTCAAAAATAAGTAAAATAAAATAATAAAGTAAAATAAAAGAAAATCTTGGGTGAGAGCATCACAATCACATAATACCCAAGGGAGGATGGAAAAGGGAGATGAATAAGGTATGATTCAAAGGAGCCTTTGAGAGTACTCAGCAATTCTATTTCTTAAGATGGGTGCTAGGTACATGTGAGTGTTCATATTATTTTCCATACATTATACATCTTTTTTTAATGTGTGAAGTAGTTCATTAGAAGTTTTTTAATACAAGAAAGGGAGATAGTAAATAAACACTCCCACTCCCCCAAAAAAGGAACTTTGTGTCATATTGGGGTCCACCCATTTCCATCCATCTTAGCAAGACAATGGGATCTTTCAGAACTGGAAGGTAGGCTGAGAACAATTCTTTATTTTATTATATTTCTTTTAGAGCTGTGGGGGTACATGTGAGGGTTTACTACATAAGTAAGTTGTATGCAGGTGAGATTTGGACTTCTAGTGGACCCTTTTTCCCCCTGACAGTGGACTTGGTACCAAGTGTGTTGCCGTGTGCCCCTTATCCCTCTTCCCTCCCTTCCTCTTTACCAGTGCCCCGTGTCTGTTGTTCCCACCTTTGTGCTCATGTGATCAATGACCAGGGCCCACTTATGAATGAGAACACGCGTTATGCAGTTCAAATTTCTAAATGGGAATACGGTCATTGTCCGTGAAGGGGTTGACAGATAAGTATTTTTATTCAGTTGTCATTCACAAGATCCACTGAACCACAACTCTCAGATTAAGGTTCCACACAGGAAGCAGTCTACCAGGAGGTGACAACCTTTCAAAGTGCTGCTACAAAGTGCCCTCATCTCTTGACAGCGGGTTTGGGCCAACACAGGTACTCACTAGCTGCCTTCTCTAAACTGGACAGGTTAGGTACCAGTCTTTAGGACAGTAACAACTTTGGTAACAAAAACTGACTTTGGTAGGCTGCTGATACCTGTTAGTTATTAGATATCCAGTGTTTGGATTGACTAATGAAAAAGAAAAATGACAAAAAATGCCAGGCACAGTGGCTCACGCCTGTAATACCAACATTTTGGGAGGCTGAGGTGGGAGGATCACTTGAGGCCAGGAGTTCAAAGACTGGGCAACATAGCAAGACCTCGTCTCTATTTAAAAAAAAATCAGGCTGGGCTCGGTGGCTCAGCCTGTAATCCCAGCACTTTGGGAGGCCGAGTCGAGTGGATTGCCTGAGTCCGTGGATTCGAGACCTACCCGGGCAACTTGGCGAGACCTTGTCTCTACAATAAATCAAAAACTAGCTGGGCATGGTAGTGCATGCCTATAGTTCCAGCTTCTTGGAAGGCTGAGGCGGAAGGATTGCCGGAGCCCAGCAGGTCAAGGCTGCGGTGGCCGGTAACATGCCACTGTACTCCAGTCTGGGTGACAGAGTGAGACTCCAACTCAAAAAAAAAAAAATCACACAATTAGTCAGGCATGGTGGGGCATGACTGTAGTCCCAGCTACTCGGGAGGCTGGGGTGGAAAGATCGCCTGAGCCTAGGGAGTTGAGGCTGCAGTGAGCCATGATCGTGCCACTGCACTCCAGCCTGGGGGACAGAGTGAGACCCCAACTCTTAAAAACAAATAAAACAAACAAACTGAATTTAAAGACATTCTGCTTTCAGAATAAGTTAAGCCAAACACCCTTTTCACAAAACAAACTCACCCTCCTTGTCTTAGTCTATCTGGGCTGCTATAAAAAAAGACCACAAACTAATGGTTTATAAACAACAAACATTTATTTCTCACAGTTCTGAAGGCCGCGAAGTTCAAAACCAAAGTGCAGGCAGTATCTGTTTAGGGCATAGATGATGCCCTCTCACTGCATCTTCACATGGTGAAAGGGGATAGTCAGATGGGGTAATTTTCAACTGAAAATTCAAGCCTGTCAATGCCAGATTTATACCTGGTTGTGTGTTCTTCAAGTCACCTGCCTAAGGCACAGCTCTGTGTCAGATGGCTTCGCACAAAACCACAGGAAGTTCCCCATTAGTGCTTTAATAAAAGTACAAATCCCATTCACAAGGACTCAACACCCTTATGGTCTAATCATCTCTTAAAGGCTGCACCTTGAGGTTGGGATTTCAACATGTGAATTTTGAGGGGACAAAAACATTCAGACCATAGCATGCCTCTGAGCATTTCCAGGTTGAAAATGGAGTTGAAGAAAATGACAGAAAGTCATTTTGTCAGGGGACATGGTGTTACCCAGAAATCTCCCGGACCAGGAAGAGAGAAACATGGTCAGCAGATGACCCAGAGACAGGCCAGACCGCACTGTTCTTAGGTGTGCAGGCACATCTCAGAGGAAATGGGACACCGCAGGGGAGGTGGTGTTCTCAGTCCTTCCATACCAGTTCCCCAGAGTTTCATTTAAAATAGCCTATCTGTCAACTGAAAATTAAGCCTATTGGTACCAGATTTATACCTGTTCTCTCAAGCCACCTGCATGAGGCACAGCTCTGTCCTCTTGTCTCTCTTTATCTCTGTATGATAGTCCTCCTTATCCAAACCACAAAGCCCTTGAGGTCAGCTCTCTCCTCTTGTCTCTCTTTGTCTCTGTATGATAGTCTTTATCCAAAATTTCACTTTTCTAGTTTCAGTTACCTTGGATCAACTGCAGTCCAAAAATACAAAATGTAAAATTCCAGAAATAAACAATTCATAAGTTCTGAGTAGTGTGATAAAATCTCACACTGCCCTGCTCCATCCTATCCAGAATAAGAATCACCTCTTTGTCCAGAGTATTCACACTGTACATGTTCCTTGCCCGTTAGTCAGTAGCCATCTCACTTATCAGATCGACTGTTGTGGTATCACAGTGCTTGTGTGCAAGTCACCTTTTTTGACTTCATAATGGCCCTGAAGTGCAAGAGTGGTGATGCTGGCAATTCTGATATGCCAAAGAGAAGCCCAAAGTGCTTCCCTTAAGTGAAATGATGAAAGTTCTTAACTTAATAAGGAAAGAGCACAAATCATATGCAGAGATTACTAAGATCTGTGGTAAGAACAAATCTTCTCTCCGTGAAATTGTGAAGGAGGAAAAAAGAAATGTGTGCTAGTTTTGCTGCATATATAGGGTTCAGCACGATATGTGGTTTCAGGCATCCACTGGTGGATCTTGGAATGTAGCCCCATGGACAAGGAAGATGATTATATCTTCCTGTCTCTTTCCCCACCTCTCTCTCTCTGCATCTCTTTCTCCTCCCTGTTACCTCCCTACTCTCCATTTCTATCTCTGTTTCTCTCATATATTCAGAATTGTTGGATTTCAGAAGAAGGAGTCCATCTGGTAGTATAAGAATTTTAAAACACACACATGAAGAAAGCTGGTTTTTACCTTCAGCAGGTTGGTCTCTCTACCTCCAAAGTGTTCTCCCTCACCCTGTGCCCCTTCTTGACATTCGTATACATAATATCATCAATGCTAAGGTTCTCCTCATCTTCATCTTATGGCTCCTTATCTGAATAAGCACCTTCAGTGTCTCCCCACTGCTTTCAACATAAACTCTAGGCTCCCTGGTCAAGAATTTAAGGATCTCAATTAAAACAGCTCCTCTTTTTCCGCCATCACCATTGTTTATTGAAATCTACTGCCTTTCTCCTTCTTACCAGGTACTCTTGGGTGCTTCACATAATCTATTCCTAAACTTTACAATAATCTTACAAGGTAAGTATGATTAATCCCATTTTGTAGATAAGTAAACTGAAGCTAAGGATGGTTAAGTGATTTGCCTAAAATCAAAAACTTTGCAACTGGCCCAGCCTAACTCAGATTCAAGGTCTGCCTGGTGGCTGCTTTCCCAGTCACCTGGTGGAAAAGAAGTCACTGTGGAGGCAGAAAGATACTAGGATTTGGGAAAATTAACATATTGATCATCTTTAGTGTGCCAGGAGGTTTTCATATTTTGTTTCTATTAATCCTCACAAAATACT